CGGGGGGGGGTGCCACGGCGGACACTGAGGACGGGGTCAGGGTAGGGACTTCCCGCCTCGTCCCCAGTCTCCGTGGCCCCCTCCCTGCCTGCCATGTCCCGAGTCCCCATGCCCGCCGTGCCCACCATGTCCCCAGTCTCCATGTCCCCCACATCCCAGGTCTCTGTGTCCCCAAGCTGGACATGCTCCCCTCACCCCAGGTCTCCATGTCCTCATGCCCACCATGTCCCAGCCTCCACGTTCCCCACGTCCCAGGTTTCGGTGTCCCCTATTTGGGTATGCCCCCGCCTCGTCTCAGGTCTCCATGTCCTCCTGCACACCGTGTCCCCCTTCCCATTAGGTGCCCAGTCTCCATGTCCAGCAAGTGGACATGCCTCTGGACATGCTCCCCTCACCCCAGGTCTCCATGTCCTCATGCCCACCATGTCCCAGCCTCCACGTTCCCCACGTCCCAGGTTTCGGTGTCCCCTATTTGGGTATGCCCCCGCCTCGTCTCAGGTCTCCATGTCCTCCTGCACACCGTGTCCCCCTTCCCATTAGGTGCCCAGTCTCCATGTCCAGCAAGTGGACATGCCTGACACGTCCCAGGTCTCCATGTCCCCCTGCCCACCATGTCCCCAGTCTCCATGTCTGTAAGCTGGACATGCCCGACACGTCCCAGATCTCCATGTCCCCCTGCCCACCACGTCCCCAGTCTCCATGTCCCCCACATCCCAGGTCTCCATGTCCCCCCTGCACACCATGTCCCCAGTCTCCATGTCCCTAAGCTGGACATGCCCAACACGTCCCAGGTCTCCATGTCCCCCTGCCCACCATGTCCCCAGTCTCCATGTCTCTAAGCTGGACATGCCCAACACGTCCCAGGTCTCCATGTCCCCCCCTGCACACCACGTCCCCAGTCTCCATGTCCCCCACATCCCAGGTCTCCGTGTCCCCAGTCTGGACGTGCCCAATACATCCCATGTCTCCATGTCCCACTGCACACCATGTCCCCTTGCTCATCTTGTCCCCCTTCCCGCCATGTCCCTGGTCTCCATGTCCCCCTGCCCACCACGGCCCCAGTCTCCATGTCCCCGACATCCCAGGTCTCAGTGTCCCCCAGCTGGACGTGCCCACCACGTCCCCTTGCCTTTCATGTCCCTGGTCTCCATGCCCACCATGTCCCTGGTCTCCATGTCCCCTGCCCATGTCCCCCAGGGTGGACGTGCCCGCCATGTCCCCAACCTCCATGTCCCTCTCCCCATCATACCCCCAGGTCTCCCCCATCCCCGGTCATCGTGCCCACAGCTCCAGGCAGCAGATCTGGAAGCACCCATCGGTGGGGTCAAGCCGCCCACCCCCC